TCTAGCGCTTAAGTTCAGTACTGTTGGCCAAGATAACACTGGAAACAAAAATGGCGTCGGAATTGTACTTGCCCTCCAGCTTTATGACATGCTGCTGTATCACACGCATGGCGTTTTACCCAGCACTAGCTGCTATACCAACAGCAGTGACAACCTTCTGCGCTTCCCAAACAAAACAAAGTGGCGAAGAGGATCCACAAGATAACGGGACTTCCCGGCCGGAGTTAGAGCAGATATGACAGCATACACTGATTGCAGCGGGGCTGCCGTAGCTCTTTGGTTAGAGAAGGCTAGGCTAAAGTCACCGACCTTACGTTCTATACTAGAACCAGTACGAGTATAATGGATTGCAATCCGCTACCTCCAAGAGTACTCAAAACCTTAACGCAATGTAAATGTACTCTTCCGTTTAAAATTGAAACTGTATTTATTTATTTATTTTGCGGCAGAGCCGCCTATATCTAAAACCTTAGGGTTTTCCTAATTAAATAGGAACCCTAATTAAAATACATAACTATTGGCAGTACCGCCACATAGTGGCTTCTTGTTACGTTGTAGGCACACTAACTTGTGTAATCCCCACCTTTGTACCATCACATCATCTTGTGTGACCCACTCTTTCATACAAGGGTATGTGTGTTCCCATTACACTCTCCCCAATCAACTTTGTGAATACCCACAATTTACATCTTACTGTCGCCTCATTCGAGGCTCGTGTGTCTGAGACACTGTTAAGTATTGAAGAACATCTTTGAATAACCTCCGCTCAATGAGCCCTATGTCTATGACACGAAAAACACCCATCCTCGCGGGTTCCAAAAGCGCCCGCGGTGAGAGCCCTTCTTCGTCTCCTGCACACGGTGCAACTCCGGACAGTATATCCGCGGCTTCAACGGAAGCGCATTTCAAGCCCTCGGTAGCCGGGTGCCGCACACCGCACCCGCTACGGGGTCGGATTTTCTCGTCAGGGATTTTGAGGAAATCGACGACGAGGCGGATAATCCTATCCCAGGATGGGAAGAAGGGGGGCTAGGTGCGTCAGCGGCGCGACAGTAGCTCAACTCAAACCTTGCGGATATCGTGCCCGTTTTCCGACCTCTTGATTTCCGGAGGATGTGGTATCATTATCAATCGCCTCGACGAGGCACAGGACCAGCAGATGAAGGCTGCTCAAAGGGCGACTTACATGCGCCTGCATCCACGGCCTGTCCTGGACCCTCGTGTGGGATGCTGCTTTCGCTCGGCGGGTCCCGCTACTGAAGTAAAGTGAAGGACGCGATCACCCGGTCGTTGAGTGTCTACGTGGTGGGGCTTCCGGCCACTACACAAGCCGAACCTGACAAACGAAAAGCTCTCCGTGCTCGTTTACGAAATCCCAATGGATATTTACCGCGCTGGATTTTGCACTCAAGGTAAGGCGTTCCTGTACCTGCAATGCGGACTACTCCTGTGGTACTCGCCCTGGCAAAACCGCTGCAGACGATATAGAGCTCTTTGAGTGTTGTAAGCAGCGGCACCGGAAATTTTCTTCGCTGTCTAGCTTACAGCGAAGCTACAATAAAGTGAACGTGCGCGTAAAACGCCATTTTCGATTTGATTTTACCAAACTCAAGGCGCAACGCCGACTTCCTACGTATTGTCGCCATGCGACATATTGAATAATCCATCACGCTCCCGCGAGCTCTGTGGTTTCTCAGACTGGTGAGTCTGCAAACCCAGTAGCTTAGGGCCATAGCTTGAGCTCAGCTCATGGCCCTTCGGCTTCCCGGACTACTGCTGAGAAGCTCGGGGCGTACAGAGCGTCATGATCCCTCTGATCATAAGTGTCCACGACGTCTGGGCAGTCTTGCCGAAGTGACATCTCAAACTCCCTCGGAGTTCTTGGAGTTTGGGTATATCCGCCACATAACAAGATATTCGGTTTGACCTTACTGATGACGTCGACCCACAAGGCGCTTCGCGTGGTAGTGGACGTCGCTATTCTCATCAAGAAGAGTCGGCGGCGGACGATGACAACTTAATCAATCGCCGTCCGTTGACTGGCAATGCTTTTCGAGCGTTGGAGGAAAAAATTCGTCGTCATCGGCACTCTGCCGAGCATTCCTCCGAGGTCGCCTGCCGCTGTGCGGAAGACCTCGAGAGGCTGAAGCACTGTGTGCACCGTATGCCTTGCGTCGAGGATTATCGTGCTCTGTCGAAGTGGCTCCTAACCGTCGGGCAGACGAATTCGACGTTTTGTGTGACTGTGAAGCGTCTAGCGCCGTTGGGAACGGGAGTTGTTGCACTCCTTGCTCAGAATAAGTTGTTAGTTTAGCTTCTGGGTAGCCGAGCGCCATTGGGCGCCGCCCCGGCGTCATCGCTCCCGCTATCACTTGCGCTTGATCCCGGTACGGCATAAGAAAATCCACAAAAAACACGGGGTGGGTGCGCAACCTTCTCGAAAGGTTTAACGTGTACGCAAGGCCTCGTTTGGCCACGACCTTAAAAGGTTTAACAAACCGTGGACGGAGATCTGTCCTAGAGACAGCAGAGACTGCGTGTGTAGGAAGGCTTTCCGCATTGATAAAACCAGGTCTCCGACCTCAAAGTTTTCATCATTTCTTCTGCTTCTTCCGTCTGCATCTTCTTTCTTCATGTCGTGGCTTCCAAACATCGCATCGCGAACGTGTCGTAAGACACTCAGTCTGGTAGACAGGAAGACATCGACTTTTTAACGGACAGTGAGGGGGCTGACATCAGCTAGCCGCTAGGCTGCCCCCCCCCCACCAAGCCCTGGACCATGGGATAGCAGCACCAGTGAACTGCGACGATGAACAAGCTTGTTCACGCAGAACGACGCTTAGCCGGAAGACGTGTGCACTGCATTGTTCAGAGTGAACTCCGCAAGTGACAGCATGGCGCTTAAGCACTTCGGCGTCTCAGCGTAGGCGCTGCGAAGAATGTCTTCAACGACGCGGTTTACGCGCTCAGATTGACCATCGGTCTCTAGATGGTCCGCTGTTGACATAGTCAACTTGGTGCCCAGCACCCTGAAGATTGCCGGTCAAAATTTCTCAGTGAAGCATGGGTCTCTGTCAGAGACAAGTGACTCCGGGAGTCCATGTTGTCGAAAGGCACGATCCACAAACAGCGTCGCTGTACGCACACCATCGATGGTATCCGGCACTGCCGCAAGATGAGCCATCTTGCTCAAACGGCCGACGAAGACCACGATACCCGTGTTGCCCGCCAAGTCCAAACACAAAGTCCAAACTCATGGACTGCTAACACCCGGAGGGTACCGGTAAACTGGCCAGCGGCGCCGCCGCATACGGACAGGGTTTCACCCTTTGACACGTCTCACACGTGCGCGCATGTGTGCTCGTCCATTTGTACAACTTTTACCACCAGGAAAATGCAACTCTCAGAGCTGTACGCCTTCTCACGACCGAGATGATTACTGAGTGAGCCTCATAGATGATACAATATTTCACATTTTATTTGTGAGTAGCCACAATTCGTGGTGTCTTCGTCGAATCGGTGCTTTAATACAGCAATTCGCTATCCAACGAGTATCGGTGTAACCGTGCGCGCAAACGCACCGATAGTTTCTTGTCCGAGCTTCCAAACTCCTTGCTTTGAGAGCGTGTAGCAGCGCTACACACATACCATCACCCGCGTATGTGGCTCGATTAAAAACCGTCACTGACGACGTCACCGTCGCGATATGAGCAACTTCATGATCTGTTTTGCGTGACAACTTTCAGCCAAAGAATTCTGTGTTCCTGGCTTATATTGCACCTCGAGAATATTCTTTGAAGAAGGAGAGCCACCTGGTCAGTCTCTGTGAGAGGTGACGCGACTCAGTCGCAGTGCGTAGTGACGCATGATCTTTGAAGATCACGAACGGCTTGAGCCGAGCAGGTGCACCCTAAACATGGCAAGTGATACTTCTTCGCAAGTAATTTCTTGTCATAGACTGGGAAGTTCGTCTCCGCAGCCTTGAGCCGCGATCGCCCCTCAGCGTCTGCTTGCAGTAGTGCGCAGCTGGTGGCAAAGTCCAAAGCACACTAAAAGGACGATCG